CGGGGGGGGTGGGGGAAAAAAAAAAAAAGTGTTTTGGAAAATGGCTCATACCGACATACAATTACAAATACATATAGGCTAACACATTATAAACAAAGCATTGAATAAAATAAAAAAACATGATTCACCTTTCAAGAAGAAGAAGAAAGCATTTTCTGACATAGGCTAGGCTACACAGTCTCTTGGTATTTCCTAATAATTCAAGATACAAGAAAAACGCATAACACTGACTGAAATTAGAAAGGGCAAAAAGAATATCCTAACCACGCTATATCTCAATCTGTTATAGACATGCGACAATTCTATATGATATGGGTGGAAAGTGCAATAGCCTACGGGGTCACCTTATAGCCTTAGTTGTCAAAAAGACTTGAGGAACAGCATTGTAAAAAAAGACCTTAAGAACATGACGAGATTATTGTTAGGCATATTAGTGAAATAACAAAGAAAAGTGAAATTTTTTTTTTTATTAAAAAAAAAACAAAAAAACAGCAACACAATAACAACGGCATTAATAGTAACACTTTTGGAGATATAGGCCTACTAATTAAATAATTGTGATCGCATTCACATTTTCATAACGACCAAACACAAAAGCCATCATTCGTTTTCAGCTGCAGCTTTATGCGGCAACGCGCTGCATAATAAACGGATGACGCAACGAGATATCGACAGTCATTAGATTTAATAATGTCTGTTGTGCAGATGTTGTCAAACAAAAGTCCTATTTCCCAAACTAATCAAAACCTCTCTGACAGAAAAAGACCATGTGAGTTGATTAACAGAACCTTACAAGCCAATGGCAAAATTAGCTCGTTTAATTTTAAGTTAACCTGTTTTAATAGGAAACCCTTTACAATAACTTAAATGTCATTATTAATATAACATGATGTAATGCCTTACAGACCAGCTGTTGATTTAGATTCATAAAGGCCTGTGAACCGATATTTAAAACTTATATGAACCTAAATGTTATGACTTTTTAAAAAATATATATTCATGTACATTACCAAGGACCTTTTATGCATTGTTTGTTCATAAATTAAAATGATAAATTGTTACTTTGTGATTGGAAGAAAAGCAATTTTTTCAGCACGTACAATAATAATTGATCTGCTCACAAGGTATAATATTACTGTCTGTAATATGAAGAAAGTGTCAGTCGTAAAGAGAAGGATTTACCTTCAGCAGCTCATCATGCATAAAAAAAGAAAAAAGTTGAAATCAGTTACAAGTGCTGATGTTTTTAACGATATCCTGCTCTATTCGTGACTATTATTAAATGGTTGCTGCAGAATCCATGTCTTTGGTTGCAAAAGAAACTCAGCTCAAATGATTAGTTTATTTTTAATAAGGGATAATGAATGCATCATGTAATTGATCTAGAGGTTACTGAACACTGAGTAACTGACTTAAATTGAAAACATGTTCCGTCCATTTCAAAACAGATGAACGAGTTTATGATGTTTGTGTGCAATATTTATGATATTAATATGTTTGCAATGGACATGTGTAACTGCTGAACGCTGCCACAAACAAAACCCATTTAATACAAGATGTTGATCATATAATTAGGAAAAAGCAACTTTGAGGCACAAAGAATAATAATCAAAAGAATAATAATGAGGCTGGCCGATACAGATAACTACCTTTCATTAAAACAATGAAATTACAAAAATGTGTCTAATTTGAAAGACCATTAGGATTGTCAAATAGTAAATCATAATATAATATTCAGACCTGCATTTTATTTACAAGAACTTGTTTAAAGGTAATGACTCATTTTGCTCTGAAGAGACATCATTACAGCAACTCAAAAAGTGCAACATACAAAATGTCCTGTCAGAGAAATTTGTTAGGCCAAAATTAGTGATTTTTTGTAGTGGAGTGGTTTTATGAGGTGTGATGCCTAAAGAGGAAAGACAAGAAGTTAGTGAATAAATAAATAAATGCCTCTGTTTAAACCATGATACTTACCAGCATCGAGCGTGTCTTACTTAATTCTGTTTTTTAAAAGGAGCCACAGTCACAGACTAGACTTGCATCAAAGTCACATTTCCCCTGGGCATGATTATTTTGTCGAAGAGGGTATGTGGTTTTCAAAACAAGCTTTTGACTAATTCCTTCTTTGTGGTCAGCACCAATAACAAAAGAAAACGACACTCTTAAAAGGGAGCCCTTCATCACCTCTTCAGTGAAAGCCCAATTTTACCACAGCATTATCCACCATTTGCTAACACGAACACTAGCATTGTCCTTACAAAAAAGATCACTCATATAGGTCAAATGCACATGGACAAGGTTCCTGTTAATGTAGACTAAGCCCAAAAGCAAAGGGAGTCCATGGAATGTCAAAGGATGACGACTTCATACAACCTTGTAAAACAAATGCCTTGGACAAATACACAACGCGTCACCATCAAAGCATTTGCATTTGGCTCGAGATATTGATGGAAGAAATCACATAAACTTGCATTAATATTAACACTAGGCATCAATTAAGCATGTACTCACAGCACAAGTATCCACCGTAGATCATATCATGATGAACAAAGTACATAAGCAATTCAGTATTATAGGCAATTGATAGTCGATAGTATGGGCTAAAATATTTACAGTACAATGGTTTGGCAGTTAATCGGTTAGGGAATGATGATGGCTTGATTGACAGTCTTGTACAACAGGCAACATCACAACTTGTGTTTGGCTTGGTTATTGCTTCTTTTTCCAGTATTATTTTGGATTTTGGTGTTTGCGTGAATCAGTGAGGCTCAAGCTTACTCATAGTTTGGCTCTGCTGAGAGCAACAGCAAGACACTAAATATTATATTAGGTAAGGGAATGGCAAAATTGAAGGTCTTTGATCCAATCAGTGTTTGAGAAAACGTTTGCATAAAATAATAGTTAGTAATTACATAAAATTTCAAGAATTATGACTTTTTATATTCCTAGTTTGTGTACGACTGTTTCTATACATTCTAATTGCTTGCAAACCTTTTTTAAGCACTCTCAGTAAATCTAGCAAACTATGTTTTTTATGAGCGTTTGGCCAATATGATGAATAACTATATCAAAGGAAGTAGCTCAGCTGCATTTCTATAACGAGCATATACAAAACAGCAAGATCTTTTTTTCCCTTTTGTGAAACACAATTAAATAC